ACAATACGAATTCCAGAGAACAACATAGAGCGGATAGAGGTGTCTAGAGACGAAGTGGAAAAAATGCTCAAGGAGCTCGGAAAGAACAAAGCAGCTGGCCCAGATGGCGTATCACCATGGGTTCTGAGACAATGTGCATCTGAGCTCAGCATTCCACTTCACCTGATCTTTCAGGCATCCCTGTGTACAGGAATCGTAGCAGACGTGTGGAAACAGGCTAACATAGTTCCAATCTACAAAAGTGGCAGCAGGGAAGACCCCCTCAATTATAGACCTGTATCACTGACAAGTGTAATAGTGAAAGTATTGGAAAAACTAATCAAAACTAAAAGGGTAGAACACCTAGAGAGAAATGATATAATATCAGGCAGACAGTATGGTTTCCGATCTGGAAGATCCTGTGTATCGAATTTACTCAGTTTCTATGATCGAGCCACAGAGATATTACAGGAAAGAGATGGTTGGGTTGACTGCATCTATCTGGACCTAAAAAAGGCTTTCGACAGAGTTCCACATAAGAGGTTGTTCTGGAAACTGGAAAATATTGGAGGGGTGACAGGTAAGCTTCTATCATGGATGAAAATTTTTCTGACTGATAGAAAAATGAGGGCAGTAATCAGAGGCAATGTATCGGAATGGAGAAATGTCACAAGTGGAGTACCACAGGGTTCAGTTCTTGCACCAGTGATGTTTATTGTCTACATAAATGATCTACCAGTTGGTATACAGAATTATATGAACATGTTTGATGATGATGCTAAGATAATAGGAAGGATAAGAAATTTAGATGATTGTCATGCCCTTCAAGAAGACCTGGACAAAATAAGTAGATGGAGCACCACTTGGCAAATGGAATTTAATGTTAATAAATGTCATGTTATGGAATGTGGAATAGGAGAACATAGACCCCACACAACCTATATATTATGTGAGAAATCTTTAAAGAATTCTGATAAAGAAAGAGATCTAGTGGTGGTTCTAGATAGAAAACTATCACCTGAGGACCACATAAAGAATATTGTGCAAGGAGCCTATGCTATGCTTTCTAACTTCAGAATTGCATTTAAATACATGGATGGCAATATACTAAAGAAATTGTTCATGACTTTTGTTAGGCCAAAGCTAGAATATGCAGCTGTTGTGTGGTGCCCATATCTTAAGAAGCACATCAACAAACTGGAAAAGGTGCAAAGACATGCTACTAAGTGGCTCCCAGAACTGAAGGGTAAGAGCTACGAGGAGAGGTTAGAAGCATTAAACATGCCAAAACTAGAAGACAGAAGAAAAAGAGGTGATATGATCACCTCGAAGAAATATAAGAAAATTCACCTCCGCAAATAGAGTGGTAGACGGTTGGAACAAGTTAAGTGAGAAGGTGGTGGAGGCCAAGACCGTCAGTAGTTTCAAAGCGTTATATGACAAAGAGTGCTGGGAAGACGGGACACCACGAGCGTAGCTCTCATCCTGTAACTACACTTAGGTAATTACTCACCATACCAGCTTAGTGGTTCCCTATGGTGAACACAAATGTAGATACTTATATATAACGTGTGTATAGTGTGTGATAACAGCGAGAGGAGTAGGTTGGGAGCCGCCATTTTGGTGAGGGAGGTGTGTCGTCTGCACGACTTACCATGTTGTGTACTGGTGGCCACTATGGTCTTTGGGCACCATACCAGCTTATTTGTACAGGTATGGTGAATAAAATGGGTAGATACTTATATATAATGTGTGTGTGTGTATATAGCGTAATAACACCACAAACAATATTGTTGGAGGACAAATATTAGTGCGTCTGGCCTTGAGGGCGGCCGCCAACCAGCTGAGTGCGAGTAACTACGTCTTTGTGCCTTTACTCACCATACAAGCTTAGATGTATAGTTATGGTGAATAAATCATGTAAATACTTATATATTATGAACATAATAATTAAATCACTAATATGCACACCATAATTTTGAGTACAGCGATGGTTCACACATTTTATTATATAAATATATCACAATTCACTCTATTAAATAATATTACTCCAAAAAAAACTAAGATAAAATCAGACATTGAAATAATTAGGCAATAACATATTTGTGGCAACTGCCGCCTGACAGCTCGGGCGGAGTAGACCTCGTCTGGCAAAGGCTCTGTCAACGCCCCTTTTTTGCCACACTTCCCTACCCTATTGCAGCTAAAATATGCCACCCACGATTTTTTTTTAAATTTTTCCGTAATCAGGGAACAAAAATGAACACTTCTATATGACGAAAGAATTTTTTGGATTTTTTTTTTTGTTGCGCCTGTGGGTGTGAAATCCATTTGGGCCCATAGCGGTTTGAGGGTTAAAATGTTAATGTGTGTTCCCTGAGCACGGGAAAAAAAAATCGTAAGCGACATATTTTGGGCGCAATTGACCGAGGAAGTCTGGCAAATAGTGGGCATTGACAGAGCCGGTCAGCATCACCTGCGCTGACAGGTGGGAGTTGCCACAAAGATATTATCACTTAATTATTTCTGTCTCTGACAGATTTTTTCTTAGTTTTTTTGCAGTAATATTATTCAATAGTGTGTATTGTAATATATTTATATAATAAAAGTGGGGAATAATCGCTATACTCAAAAGTATGGTGTGCATATTAGTGATTCAATTATTATGTTCATAAAACAATAAACAAATAGTTTTGCTGCTATTACACTCTATACACAGGTTATATATAAGTATCTGCATGTTTTGTTCACCATAACGAACCACTAAGTTGGTATTGAGAGTCGAAAAGCAACGAGGAGTGACCGCCACTCGCTGCCACTCCCACAACAACGCCTCACTTGTCCACTTTTTCCTCCCACCATCCTGTTTTATGTTTTATTCAAAATATACAGACGTTGTATATAAGAATCAACATATTTTGTTCATCACAACTGTACAACTAAGTTGATATAGTTAGTTCAGGCACTAAGAGTCGTCGCTATACACACAGTCAGCTGGCGGCTCCCTGACTCATTCAAGGTTACACGCACTAAACTTTCTCCCCCAACAATACTGTTTGCAGTGTTATTACCCTATATACAAATATTGTATATAAGTATCTACATGTTGTATGCACCGTAACTGTACACCTAAGCTTGTAGTGCGCCCAAAGAGCATAGTGGCCACCCTCTAAATACCTAGACAAATCATGCAGATGACGTCACCTCCGTCACCCAAATGGCTCCTCCCAGCATAATCCTTTTGCTGTTATTACACTAATACACACACATTATATATAAGTACAGTATCTACATTTGTGTTCACCATAGAGAACCACTGAGCTGGTATGGTGAATGCAGACAATAACAGGTGGCCACACAGTCAGTAAACGATGCTATCTCCCTCCGTCTCAGCATCACTCGTCCCACAGCGCTAATTATTACAACAATCCTGCTCAGAATACCAATTTAGTAATTCGTTATGGTGAACAAAACATGCAGATACTTATATATAACCTGTATATATAGTGTAATAACAGCAAAACTGTTCGTTTATTGTTTTATGAACATAATAATTGAATCACTAATCACTGAATTGAATATGCAAACCATACTTTTGAGTATAGCGATAATTCACCTTTTATTATATAAATATATCACACTACACACTATTGAATAATATTACTGCAAAAAAAAAAAAAAATAAGAAAAAATCAGACATTGAATTAGGTAATAATATCGTTGTGGCAACTCCCGCCTGTCAGCTCGGGTGACGCTGACCACCTCTGACAACTGCTCTATCAATGCCCAAATTTTGCCAGACTTCCTCGGCCTATTGCGCCAAAAATATGCCATCTACAATTTTTGTATATTTTTCCCGTGCTCAGGGAACACAAATAAACATTTTTAGAAGACGAAAACAAAATTTATAAAAAAAAATTCTTGCACACAGGTACTCACCTAATTGTGCTTGCAGGGGGTTCTGCCTCTTTGGTCCTGCCTCTCAACCGTCAATCAACAGGTGTACAGGTTCCTGAGCCTATTGGGCTCTATCATATTTACACTTGAAACTGTGTATGGAGTCAGCCTCCACATCACTTCCTAATGCATTCCATTTGTCAACCACTCTTGACACTAAAAAAGTTCTTTCTAATATCTCTGTGGCTCATTTGGGCACTCAATTTCCACCTGTGCTTAACCACTTAACTGCGTCAGCCGGGTTTTCTCGGTCGGTGGACCATGAAAAACTGGGAAACTGCGCCAACCGAGAAAACTTGTTTTGATTTTTTGGGACCCATTTGAAACTCGGGCGCGGTTGGTTGTGTATGAGATGGATGCCTGAGGCCGTCAGTGAGGGGCGGCCATTTTGAAAAGAATCCCAGAATGCCCCAGGCCCGAGGGTAGCCTCAGTTTTGATTGAGCAACCATGGCTGACGCACGCGCCTACAGCTCCCAGTCACCTGTGGGACGCACTGTTGCAAAACCGCTTTCTCCAGGGGATATACACAGTAATGTTTGAGGATGAAGTGGAATATTATATTGATGACCCAAGGATTGATAGAGACATAACTCAAGGGTCTAGTGGAAGTGAAATAGATACAGATGAAGACGATACAGTGAGCGCGTATCGTTCAGGGCGAGCTGCACGCACAGTGAAGCATCACAGGTCATCGCCCTTGCCAGAATTATCCCCACCACCACCACCTCCATCTCCCATTTTTGACGAAAGTGATACTATTGAGTCATTTTCTGGGTTTAGTGACGCTGCTTCTGATACAAGTAGCATAGATGAGGCAAGGGCTAGCAGCTGCCGTCGTCGCGGTGTTACCAGGTGCAGATCTGCTGTCTCAGCAGGTCGCCCTGCCAAGCGCCGCCATGTATCCCATCTCGACGACACTGACGACAGTGTTGCCTCTACATCAACTTTCCCTGCTCGCCCTACTAGTAGACACGGTGGAAGACCTCCAACTCCTCCCCAAAGGAGATTTAGTTCAAGAAAACGCACCTGTAGTGGAGTCGCTCGTGGTGGTGCTAAAAGGAGAATGACTGAATTTGTGTGGGAGGACTGTGATATTTTTGTACCACACAAACCTCAATTTGATGATAGTGATGTGGGGGTTGCATCCATGTTCCTGTACACAGGTGAAGACATGACGGAAATGGAATATTTTCGTGCATATTTTGATGAGCAGTTCATGCAACATCTTGTTGCCGAAACCAACAGATATGCAGGGCAACTTATTGAAGCTGGAATATTACAGGCTTCACGTATGATACGTTGGAAGGACACCACTGTGGCTGAGCTGTACGTGTTCTTTGCTCTATGTATGCTCCAAAAACATTCGGAGAAGCAAGTCATTCAGGATTATTGGAACAAAGAAGCTGCTGTTCCATCACCTGTGTTCAACAAATACATGTCACGAGACAGGTTCCTGCTACTACTACGGTGCCTACACTTTGAAAACCTTGAAAATTTTGATAGAAATGATCGATTTTGGAGAGTGCAAAAAGTGTTTAATGATCTCCGAGGGAAATTTCGTGATTACTTTGTACCTGGACAGAATGTTGTCATTGATGAATCCCTAGTTCTTTTCAAGGGACGTCTTCTCTTCAAACAGTACATCCCATCGAAACGGCACCGTTTTCGCCTTAAATTTTTTGTACTGTGCGACTGTGAAACCGGAATGGTGATCGATATGATATTATATTCTGGTACAGATGTAGACATACCCTCAGAAGATCCTCTCGGGTTTTCTGGCAGTGTAGGGAAGACGCTAATGGAACCACTGCTGAACAAGGGGCACATTCTGTACACTGACAATTATTATACCAGCCCCTTGCTAACAAAGTTCTTGCATGAACATAACACGGGAGTGTGTGGCACTGTAAAGACAAATAGGAAAGAAATGCCAGTTTTTTAAATAATAATATTGGTGTAGGTGATTGTGAACTTAGAAAATGTGACAAAATATCAGCAGTGCGTTGGAAAGACAAATATGAAGTCAATATGTTGACAACTATTCACACTGGTGAAATGCTTGACAGTGGGAAAGTGAGGTATCGAGGTGATGGATCATTGTCAAGCCAGGTTGTATCATTGACTACAATATATATGTATGAGACTTGTAGATAAATGTGACAGGATGGTTGGTGCCGTCGAGTGTGTCCGCAGAACTGTAAAGTGGACAAGGAAATTCTTCTTTCATCTTGTGGATGTAACAGTGCTCAACCGTTTCAACATGTTTTGATGAAAACGGGCAAAAAAACTTCAATTCGAGTGTTTAGTCAAGCTCCGCTGTCGCAATTACTCGTCAGGTATGGCCAGGAAGATAGCGTAAGGACAGTTTATCATGCCCCAACCAGAGCGCATTTAGTTTCCAACAGACTGGGTGGTAAAGAGGCTTTTGCAATTCACAAGCCTGCCTACCTACCACCTACAGGAACTAAGGCCAAAGGCATATGTGAGTGCATTGTTTGCAAGCACTCAGAACGAAAACCAAGGAAGCGAAAATCTGTGTGTACCATATGTGTAGAGTGCAAAGTCCCGCTGTGTCTCATGGACTGCTTCTTTGAATATCACTCGCTTGCTAAGTACTAAGAGTGTAATACAGTGTGTTACTTTGTAAATAGTGTGTGAAACTGTATATAATGTATTATTAGTGAATGTAAAACAAGTAATATTGCAACAATAAACCTTTATTGAGGACACTTTAGTGACACATGTATCACAGTTCCATGGAACATTATGGACGTTATACTTTATATACATTGTCAGGACACATATACATCTGATACGATACGAAAAAAACATTAGAAAGCATTGAAAATACATAGAAATAATATTTGTAAATATAATTGTGGCAACTGGCGGGTCTTGAATGGCCCGCGCGACCGTGTCTGGGCAAGTCACGCACCAGCGACCAGCCCATGATGACGTCACAGCGCACCTTGTCCACCTCCTCATGGCCAAAGTAGGTGGAATTTGACATTATTTTTTATATACACGTGTTCAGGGAAGGGAATTTATTATTTTAAAAAGAAAAAATAATTTTTTGGGAACACTTGATTTCATGCGCACCGGGGGAATTTCACAATAAACTCGGCGCAGCACGGTGGTTAACCCAGGAGTTAGTTAACTGTTGTGGGGATGTATATCCTGAGGCACTGTATACAATGTTCACAACAGAACAATGTATAATTGTTCACAATTATACATCCTGTAATTTACAACAGAAGAAATGTATAATCAGATCATTGTATACAATACATTGAGAAAGAATGAAGGTTAGATCCCAAAATTTGGTATTTAATACACTTACTTTAAATAAGTAAGTGCTTTTAATACACATTTATTAGGTCTTTCCTTCACCTTAATTCAAGCAATACGACATTAGAGTAAGTTTTCAATTATTATTATTATTATCATTATTCAATTTTTATTATTATTAGTATTATTATTAACAGGAAGGGGGGGGGGGAGTGGTTCACGTGTCCACATTCCAATGCCCTCTTCCCAGGGCTGGAGGTGCACAATAAACTACACACCTCCGGCGGCAGCTTGTCGAAGGAGGAAATGGAGCCTAGGCCATTTGTCATGTTAATTAGTGATGGCTCTTATTTTGATTATGGATCCGTAACCCAGTTAAGCCTTTATTCTTAATATATACTGTAACCCCGCGATTATCCGGGATTCGAACATCCGGAAAATGCCCTTATACGGTCAAAATCGTGAACGGATAAAGTTCTCAATATCCGGCCAAAATGGCCATGGGAGCCGGATAAAAGCCGGTTTGGCCGGTTAAAAATCTGAGCCGGTGGGCTGTACCGTATTAATCCCGTACAGCTGTGGCTCAAGGCCATGGTGTTGGAGGGGATAGGGTAGGTGGGTGATGTCGGGAGAGAGGGGAGCGTTGGGAGGGACCACCTGGGGGATTACGGTCAGGAAGAGAGGGAGGGAGTTGGTCAGGAAGGGAGGGAGGAAGGGAGTTGGTCAGGAAAGGGAGGAAGGGAGTTGGTCAGGAAGGGAGGAAGGGAGTTGGTCAGGAAGGGAGGGAGGGAGTTGGTCAGGAAGGGAGGAAGGGAGTTGGTCAGGAAGGGAGGGAGGGAGTTGGTCAGGAAGGGAGGGAGGGAGTTGGTCAGGAAGGGAGGGAGGGAGTTGGTCAGGAAGGGAGGGAGGGAGTTGGCAGGAAGGGAGGGAGGGAGTTGGCGAGGGAGGGAGGGAGTTGGTCAGGGAGGGAGGGAGGGAGTTGGTCAGGAAGGGAGGGGGAGAGTTGGTCACGGAAGGAGGAAAAACTATTGTGGTGTGTATGGGACTCGCTTAAGCCTAACGAAGGTGGCGTTGGCGGTGTTGCAAGAATTATATTGTTTTCATATTGCTGTGGAGAGCTAGTTACGAATATTAATTAAATAACACTATAATAGATGAACAGTACAGTATTTGGTTTGCTATTTATTCATTTAAATATTTACAATAAAATAAAATGGGATTTAACAGAACTTAAGGCGCATCGTACAGCGTGTCAACACCCACGTGTCTGTCGACACATGTGGAGGGAAGGCTGGCGTGAGGTGGGGGGAGGGTTGACCAGGCAGGAGATCACACGTGTCGTCTGTCTCTGTTCCAGTCTCGACACTTACCCACCTGTTCACCCACTTCCCTGCCCACCAACCTGTTTACCCACCTGCCTGCATACCCACTTACCCACCTTGTTCACCCACTTCCCTGCCCACTCACCTGCCTGCACACCCACTTACCCACCTGTTCACCCACTTCCCTGCCACCCACCTGTTTACCCACTTCTCTGCCCACCCACCTGTTTACCCACTTGGCTGCACACCCATTTACCCACCTGTTCACCCACCCACCTATTTACCCACTTCCCTGCCCACCCACCTGTTTACCCACCTGCCTGCACGCCCACTTACCCACCTGTCAATCCACTTCCCTGCCCACCCACCTGTTACCCACATGCCTGCATGCCCACTTACCCACCTGTCAATGCACCCACCCACCTGCCTGCTTACCCACTCACCCACCTGCCTGCTCGAACCTGTTCACCCACCAAGCCCATCTACCTGCCATCCACTCATCCAAAACCCACCTGCCTGAACCCACCTATCCCTGCCTGCCCACCCACCCACTTGCCTGCCCACCCACCCACCTGCCTGCCCACCCACTTTCCCTGCCCACCTACCAGCTAGGCAGCTAACCACCCATGCACCAGCCCCACACACTAATTAGTGTGTCAATTCAAATCATGCGTGTGGTATAAAAATTGTCGGAAATGGTCCCTTTTGGACTCAAGAGATGAAAAAGTACTATTATCCGGAACATGTGATAATCCGGCTGGGGGTCCTTCCCATATAGTCTGGATAGTCGAGTGGAGACAGTATTACCATGCTGGTAAAATACACTTCTTGATGATGAGTATGGGGGTGCAAAATGAACAAGATAACCACTCACAGTTTGAGTATAGGGTACATAATGAACTACCACTCACAGGATGAGTATGGGTTGCACAATAAACTACAGGTCACAGGATGAGTGAGAGTTGCAGAAATGGTAACAGGATGAGTATGGGTTGCACAATAAATTACCGCACAGAGGATGAGTATGGGGTGCACGTAAACAATGACTCACATGATGAGTATGGGGTGCACAATAAACTACCACTCACAGGATTAGTTTATGATGGTCGTGCTCTATATTAGGGTAACTAAAATACACCTGTTTCCAAAATAAATATTTTAATGACAAATATTTGAAAATATATTGTATGTTTCCGATTTTCTGATGATAATAGAACATACCATATATATAGGGGTCCCAGTAGTACGAGAAATGAAAATATTCTAGATCTGGTCTTTACAAACAATGAAGACATTATCAGAGACACATTACGATATCAGATACCACATACTCAGATCACAAGCTCATTGATGTGCAAACGACCATTAATACTCAGAATAGACCTAAAACATTGATAAAGCAAAAGGGGCTATTCAGTAAATTCAATTTTAATAATAAAAGGATAGACTGGGAGATAATAAACAGGGAACTTACAAACATTCCATGGGAAACTGTTCTAAGTAATACAAGTCCTACAGAAGGAATAGAAAAACTGACTTCAGAAGCATATCAAGTTTGTCTGAAACATGTTCCTTTGAGGAAAGCCAGAAAGAGATCCAACGTAGAAAGAGAACGCAGACGACACTATAAACGCAGGAAAAAAATAACGGAACTGCTTATGCAGACACGAATTTCCCGTCAAAGAAGGAATAATTTAAATAGGGAGATTGAAGAAATTGAGCGGAAATTGAAACACTCATATGAAACTGAAGAGAGGCAGTTAGAATAGAAAGCAATTCAGGAAATAAAGAAAAATCCAAAATATTTCTTCACATATGCGAAATCAAAAGCAAAAACCACTGCCAGTATTGGACCTATTCGTACAAGTGAAGGTTCATACACGGAGGATGACAAAGAAATTAGTGAAATCCTAAAAAAGCAGTATGAGGACATGTTTAGCACTCCAATAAACAACATGAAAGTGGAAGATCCAGACAATTTCTTTATGCGGGATATTCAAACCCTTGTAAATGTAAATATAACTGATACAGAGCACCACTTGGTTTCCGAACCCCTTGGGGACGAGACCCGTCGGTTAACATGTAAGTTCGTATATGAGAAATAGAGGGGAAAAATAAACTAGAAATGTAAAAAGTAATTTTTCCGAAAAATTTATGAAAAAAACTCTAGGGAAAAAAATCGTCAGGTTCATGGCGTAAATGCGACCGTGTTTTGTTTGTACTCATCAATAAGTGAAGTCCTGATCCGCTTTATAAAAGTCCTTAATTGTTCCTAACTGATTATTAAGACGTCTGGCAAACATCCTCTGGATGTTTCCTGCCAGCCTGCAGG